TAAGTCTTACAACAATAAGAAAATTTAACACAAGTTGATAATTAAAAGAAGTTGTAAGTTGCTAGCAGTAACATTTAAAAAATAATTAATTTCATCGATAAAATAAAAGATCACGACTTTAATAACAAAGACTATTCCAAAGAAGAAAATTAAGAATCTATAAAAGATCTAATTAAAAGAATAAAGGATGATAAATAGTTTATAGAATTTTTGTAATTTTTAGTTCATCTCACTACCTTAGATAAAACTTTAATATAATGTGGGTCTAATTCATTACACGTATTAGTTTAAATGAAGGCGGATCTTAGAAACAAAAATTTGGAAAATATTAAGATAGAAAATACTTCTTTGGTTGGAGCTAATTTTGTTAGATGCAATTTAAGTGGATCAGAATTTAATAATGTAAATATTAGTGGGATAAATTTGAATGGTGCTTTGTTATTTAATTGCAAATGGAATAACTTAAAAATACTTGAATTAAAAAATTTAGATGGTCATGATGGATATGTGAGTTCTGTTTGTATTTCTCCTGATGGAAGTACATTAGCATCTAGTGGGTATGATAAATTTATCCGTGTATGGGATATTAAAACAGGATAATAAAAGCCACATTGGATGGTCATGCTAACCCAGTCTGGTCGATCTGTTTTTCTCCTGATGGAAGTGCATTAGCATCCAGTGGTTATGATAAATTTATCAGTTTATGGGATATAAAAACAGGGTAATAAAAAGCCAAATTGGATGGTCATGCTAATTGTGTATATTCAGTCTGTTTCTTTCCTGATGGAAATAGATTAGCATCTGGAAGTAGTGATAAATCTATTCGCTTTTGAGATGTTAAAACAGGATAATAAAAAGCCAAATTTGATGGTCATAATAGTTAGGTCTACTCAGTCTGTTTCTCTCTAGTTGGAACTACTTTAGCATCTGGTGGGTATGATAAATTTATCCGTTAATGGGATTTAAAAACAGGATTATAAAAAGCCTAATTGAATGGTCATACTAGTCCTGTCTACTCAGTCTGTTTCTCTCCGGATTCAATTTATCAATCTTTAGAATGGCAAAATAATCATTCTTTATAAAGATAATAAGGTTGAAAATTGACTAATTCTTTTTATAACTACCATTTTACATGAAGTTATTGAGATGCTTCTAAAAATACCAGTCTAAGTTAGTCCAAAAAGGTAATTTTTAAGCTTTAGCCCGAGTTTTTAAAATATAAACCCCTTCTTCTTCTTTTAAAGTAAATATACTAATTTTATTTATTTAAGTAACAGTAATACTATTATTTTTTATTAAATTGATTTTATAAACTTTAAATTTTCAGAATGTTATTGAAAAATTTTTATTAGTAAAATACTTATTTTGGAAATTTAAGAATACCCA